CAGAGAGAGAGAGATAAGAATGAACAGGTTTAAACAGTACAGAAAGAGAGATAAGGATGAACAGGTTTAAACAGTACAGAGAGAGATAAGGATAAACAGGTTTAAATAGTACAGAAAGAGAGATAAGGATGAACATGTTTAAACAGTACAGAGAGAGAGATAAGGATGAACAGGTTTAAACAGTACAGAAAGAGAGATAAGGATGAACAGGTTTAAACAGTACAAAAAGAGAGAAAGATGAACAGGTTTAAACAGTACAGAGAGAGATAAGGATGAACAGGTTTAAACAGTACAGAAAGAGAGAAAGATGAACAGGTTTAAACAGTAGAGAGAGAGATAAGGATGAACAAGTTTAAACAGTATAGAAAGACAAGAATGAACAGGAACACAGCTATGTGTAGTATCACACTGTGGGATAAGGTCCAACTCAAAGACAACTAAGTGTAATAAAACAATTATGTAATAACTTCTATCAGAAGAGTTACTAAGCATCATCAATAACAATACAATTAATAATACTTAGCCTTAGGTATAAGTAGCAGGGAAGCCACAAAAGATTCCATGATTACTCTGTCTTAGGTCATCAGTTAGATAACTTTGCTGCTAGTAGTGTTTTCAGTCCTAAACCCAAGAACATCTGACAAACACATTACTCAACACTGAAGCAGAATGATGCTTGTAAATCTACATGTACCATGCCTATCCCATTTGGCCAATGTAGTTATTACTACTTAAGAAACTTAAAGTTGTATATTAGATTATCTAATGCTGTTAATAACTAAAACACATATTGAATGAATTAAATTTAATACTGTAAGTTACATAAACACATATAAACTTACATCTTATCTAGTATGTGACAAGCTCTGGCTAGATGTCCACTGAACAGTAACACAGCCTGTGCGTATACGAGTTCTCTTGCTACCGAACAAGATCTACTTGTTTTAATTCACCAGCATAATCTTGCTAAAGTGAGTCTGCCCAATGACCAAACTTTACAGGGGACGTATAAAGAAAACAGACCAAAGGCTGTCGGTTCTTAAAAGCTGAAAGATAATTTAAGAAAAATCACCATTATAACATCCAGTTCAAAGACAGCCAATAGTAGTATTACACTGTGAGTAAATATCCAGCTCAAAGATAGCTAATAGTAGTATTACACTATGAGTAAACATCCAGCTTAAAGACAGCCAATAGTAGTATTACACAGTGAGTAAATATCCAGCTCAAAGACAGCCATTGTAGTATTACACTGTGAGTAAATATCCAGCTCAAAGACAGCCAATAGTAGTATTACACAGTGAGTAAACATCCAGCTCAAAGACAGCCAATAGTAGTATTACACTGTGAGTAAAAATCCAGCTCAAAGACAGCCAATAGTAGTATTACACTGTGAGTAAATATCTAGCCCAAAGACAGCCAATAGTAGTATTATACTGTGAGTAAACATCCAGCCCAAAGACAGCCAATAGTAGTATTACACTGTGAGTAAACATCTAGCCCAAAGACAGCCAATAGTAGTATTATACTGTGAGTAAACATCTAGCCCAAAGACAGCCAATAGTAGTATTACACTGTGAGTAAACTTCCAGCTCAAAGACAGCCAATAGTAGTATTACACTGTGAGTAAACATCCAGCTCAAAGCCAGCTAGTTTTGTGTGTTTTATGTTGGCATATATGATTACATACAATCTGGTATGACTTTTTGCATAAATATTTTTATGTAAAGTTTACTTTTGCTTTTTATCTTTTCAAAGAACTGGTTTAACTATAGATTTCAGAATAAATTAAAACATCAATGGTACAATACCAGTGCCTTGAAACATCAATGGTACAATACCAGTACCTTGAAACATCAATGAGATAATACCAACACCTTAAAACACCAATGATATAATGCCAGTATGAAACTAATTCCTTCTATTCAGAACATTACCATGCCCTAAGTCAATAGTGCCAGTAGTATTAATTAAGCAAGATCAATAAAAAAAAACTTTATGCACACTTTACAGAATGTCAAAGAAAGAGGTATCTATAGCCAGTAAACACCGTCATTTCTCTTCATTCCATTTCCAATTGACTTAAATGTGGACTCATTACAGCAGCCATGACAAGTTGGACATTTTATTATCAGAAATGTAGCAACAGGTAGAAAAACAATACAAATTCAGCTAGAGATACAAATAATTACAGGTTTAAACATTTCTTCTTCTGAACTGTAAATGGGGAACTTCTGATGCTTAAATCTACAAGACAGAATATGCTCTTTATGGCTTCAATAACGCAATGCACATTGTCAGTAACTAATACTCATTTTATAAAACCAAGTATTTTTATGGAAATTACATTATGTTTGGGTTTGGGGTAAAAAAAGTTACACCTTGAATGCAAGTTTTATTAGGTTTTTTGTAGAGCTTTAACCCATCAACAAGAGTGCTCATTATCCTAGTAATAGGTTTTTTGTTAAGCTTTAATCCATTAACAAGAGTGCTCATTATCCTAGTTTTATTAGGTTTTTGTTAAGCTTTAATCCATGAACAAGAGTGCTCATTATCCTAGTTTTATTACCTTTTTTTGTTGAGCTTTAATCCATCAACAAGAGTGCTCATTATCCTAGTTTTATTAGGTTTCTTGTTAAGCTTTAACCCATCAAAAAAAGAGTGCTCATTATCCCAGTTTTATTACGTTTTTTGTTAAGCTTTAACCCATCAACAAGAGTGCTCATTATCCTAGTTTTATTAGGTTTTTATTGAGCTTTAACCCATCAACAAGAGTGCTATTATCTTAGTTTTATTAGGTTTTTTGTTGAGCTTTAATCCATTAACAAGAGTGCTCATTATCCTAGTTTTATTAGGTTTCTTGTTAAGCTTCAACCCATCAAAAAGAGTGCTCATTATCCTAGTTTTATTACGTTTTTTGTTGAGCTTTAACCCATCAACAAGAGTGCTCATTATCCTAGTTTTATTAGGCTTTTATTGAGCTTTAACCCATCAACAAGAGTGCTCGTTATCCTAGTTTTATTAGGTTTTTTGTTAAGTTTTAACCCATCAACAAGAGTGCTCTTTATCCTAGTTTTATTAGGTTTTTTGTTAAGTTTTAACCCATCAACAAGAGTGCTCGTTATCCTAGTTTTATTAGCTTTTTTTCTTGAACTTTAACCCATCAACAAGAGTGCTCATTTATCTTTTTCACAGAGATACGACACGACTCAAGCCCAAATACTATCAGGTTGTGGTTCATGCACTCAACAAGACTGGAAAAACTCATTTTATTGTGTCACAAATGTTGACAGTAAAGTCTTCACTGAAGTTTTTTTTACGCTTGAGGTTGAATATAAAATCTTACTAACATTAAAAACAATAACACATTTTAAAATAACAGTAAATACCCTAGACATAAAAAAAGAGAGCTAATAAATTATTATTACCAGTTATAGCTCATACTATGAAATATTTTCTAAGAAGTGAAAAAAAAAACAAATTATAATAATTTCTTCTACACGTGTAAAAATGTAACAAAATCCAATTCAAACTACTGTTGTTGGACTAAATTCTGTGAAAAGAAACTTTCAACTGAAAACTTTAGGTTATATTATATTTTGAGTATCTTCCAAAACATAGCTAAGAAAAACATGCGTGACCAGAATGGCTGTTAAGTATCTAAGCACCAAAATTTTATATACTATATGATTTAATTTCCACTTCTTACATATATACTATCCAGATGACCCCTTAGACATGAGGATGACAGAAACATAATGCTAGCCAATTAAAGGCAGTGATAACTTTCTAACGAATATTAATGATGGTAATGAATTCACCCAGAAAAAGAATGGTATAATTAAGATCTGAGAAAAGTAAAAATGTTACAATATATCATAGTATTTTTGAATTGTACTTGGCATGTTTAAGTTCATGCTACAAGGTCAAAGACTATGTTCAACTGCTACTTATATATATATATATATATTTGTTCTTTACAAAAAGTTGGATACATATTTAACTTAATGAGAGAATTTCTTTTCTAGTAAGCCACATATATAAAACTGTAAATGTATAGCTTAATTGATCCTTCAGGATTACCTAATTTGACTAAACTTAGAGAATTTTTCACCTAGAAACAGTTAAATGGATAAAACATTGATTTATGCTGCACATAAATGTCTGACAAGTTTCCATTCACAAGGAAACCAGAGAACTTTCCATATTTTGATTACAATTCTTATATTTCTCCACTTTGTAATAAATGTAGGTCTGAAACTATTCAATTTGTACTTGAGTACCATGAATTAATTCTTTATTTACTTCTTATCAGTAAACTTCCATAAACAAGCCTTGACCAGATTATATGCATCTTTAAACTCTGTGTTGATGTATAAAACTAAAATTTGACCAATTTTAAGAGGTATATCTATATATATAAATCAATGAGAGTGCTTGTTATCCTAGTTTTATTATATATACAAGCCAAAAAATATTACAAATAGATTCACCCAAATGCTAGAAATATTTTATTTAATATTATATTTTCTTTCAATTTCAGTATTTTATGGTATAGCTAGTTGATGTGAAACTATGTGAAAAGGACACACACATTTATGGAATAATTTCTCCACATCAATAAATCATGATTACAGGATGAAAACCTTTTATTACCTCACTTCATCTTTAACCAATGAAATGTCTACTTTAGAACATCTCACCAATAAAACTCACGATACTTTCTTTTAAAAAAACCTGACATGGGGATTCTTGATTTCTAAACATACACTTTAACCTTGAAATAAAGTCAATTACTTTTTGCTGAATGATGATGCATACAGTCACTTCAAAAAGCATATGAAATAACATGTTCCCAAAACCACCAAATCTTTAAATCTGACATCACTTAATACAGACATTTGAAAGATACTTCACAGACACTAAATTTCAACTTTGTGATATCTGTCTTTATATGAGGAATAAACATCTTGCATTTCTTTCTTAGTTCTCAAACAGACCTATATAACACTTTACAGAAAAACCAATAAGAATTTATTAAATTCAATACTCTGTAAAGTAATTAAGCTGTTATACAATAAGTACAAATGTTTCTTAAATATAAATGCAGGCTCTTGAAATTATACCTAATATGGAAACAGATTTCAGGCATCAGAATTTCCCCAACTGTAAATAAAGTTTCATTCCCTTATCCAGAGTAACATAATAACAGTAACATAATGTCCTTCTTATGACATGTTAAAACATTCACAATTATGAGATAAAATTCTTTTAATCTTGACTCAATTCATTCTCGATGAACTAGAACGAATAGTCCAAGGCATCCAAGCACTGCATACTGAAACAAAAATATAGCAATTAGAAATAAAAATTGAATAAACTGAACACAGAATAAAATTATATTTCTTAGTTTTGTTTTGCACTAGCTATCTCTAATTTTGAGGGGACAGACTAGAGAGAAAACAGCTAGTCAACAGCACCCACTGTCAACTTACAGAATACTCTAAGTGAAAGAAGGACCAGTAGGAACTACACCTAGTAACTAATTAGATCTGTACCAGCAGAATACAGCAGGACCAACAGGTTACTATCTACAGTTCCAGTTGGATCTATACCAGTAGAATTATGGAGGTCCACATTCACTGTCATATTTTTCTAATTTGTAGTCTTAGAATAAAATCCTAACTTTTTGCCTGAGGTTGTTAAGCCAAATTTAGCCACTTCAGTTCAAAAACTCTGTTCTCAGCAGCAACAATATACACACTATTTGTTGCTCTTAATAGATTTTCTGATATTCTGCCTTTTTTCAGTCTAAGTCAGCTAAAAGAATGTCGTAAGAAACACTGACTATGACTAAGTTATTTTCACTGTTCTACATAATTAGCTGAAGCTTATTAAATCTTTGTTTTGATCTGTCACACTTTCCCATCTTTAACTATAATAAGAGTATGTTTATACTAGGTATCAAATTTATATTTTTGACTGGACAGTCATTTTATCTACTTATCACCATTGATAACACAATTCCACAAAATGTTTCTTTGTTGAAAGAAATTAAAAAATTGTATTCCATTAACTACTATTTATTTTAATAGTGGATTACATTGTTCAATGAACGTTTCTGTCATATATGTTAATATTACCACAGGCGTAAGACAATTTTCAATGTTCAGCTTGCTCCATATGGGTTAAACTACTGTAAAAAATATTTACAAAAATAGGTTGTGATCAGGTTTAAAGGAAACAAACAGGACAAAATTTATCAGATCTTATAGTCAATCCTTACAAGGTAACTGTCCACTAGAGGGGTTAAAATAAGATAAAAATATAAGTTATTAAATTACAAGTATTGAAACTCATTCCTACAATGCTAAAAATAGTTACACAAAATTATGTATTATGGAGGTTAAGAAAGTACTCCTGGCAAGAATAACCTTTAAGGTGCAATCAGAGGGTAAAATCATAAGCTAACAAGAGAAGGTGTAGAGTTAAGTGTCAATTATATGATTATTGTTAACTCAAACTTACCCTTTAAAACAAATACTACTATTTGGATGCAGATTCATTTTTATTAAATCAACCTTAAAACAAGGAACAGATGTCATCTTTACATAACTTACCTTCAGTTTTGGATAGTCATTCATTAGTATTGTAACTATTCCTACGTATGGAACAAACCTGCAATATATTTCAAATTTTAAACTGTTAATGAATTTTAAATGCATATATTATTACCTAGCTATCGCATTATGGAATTTAGGTTAATTTTCCCAAAGTTTTCCATTAAGTACAGATTCAGCTTTAATTTTCTAATGCCACAACAAACTTGAATACATATTAATTTATTAAAACATTTGAAAAGTTTATCTACATGAGAGATCAAGCATGTCTTCATAGTAATGTTATAAAATATGAACTTATTAAAACATTTGAAAAGTTTATCTACAAGAGAGAGATCAAGCATGTCTTCAAAGTAATGTTATAAAATTTATTTTACCATTCAACAAGTGGACAATACCAAATCACCTAAATTTATACTACCAAACATGGATACACTGACCAATTTGACCACTCAAACACCTGTAAGAAATGTTGCTCAATGTTATTCGAATAAAATAAATTCATTATAGTTCTTGAAGACTTTTAAACCATACAGAAGATACATACAGCTCACTATTTTAAAAGTGTTATTTTAACACCGTATTATTCAAACACCAAGGTTCTAAGTGTGGATATTTTATGAACTACAATGATATCAAATTGTTTTATGAATACTAACATTTTTGCTTTATTTAAACCTTTGTTATCAGCTTTTTTGTGTAGATGAAATTTAAAAAATTAATCTAGAAATCATTGAACAGTCTAAAACAAAATATTTAAAATATCAAACTAAAATTCATATGTATATGAGTATGTTAATTCACTTATTTTTCACATGTACATGAGTATGTAAAAATATTTATTTTTCACAGATATCCATTACAACCTAAACGTTTTGGTGTCAGTTGACCTAATAACTAGAAGGACAAATCCTACTTTTCAAAAATCACACAAGAATATAAAATTAGCAAACACAATATTCAATGTATGGTGTATCTTCAAAATAACATCTATAATATCAAATTATAATTGATCATACAAAGTCTATATTTAAGCTCTGCCCGAGTTTTTAAAAATTTTTTTGCATTGATATTAATACAAGTCCTGCCCAACAGATTAGAGACTACAAGAATTCTGAATGCTAACCAACACCCACACTTCTAAGAGCAAAGAAGATTTTAACATCTCACCCTCTTGCACGACCCACAATATCCTTTTTGTTCAGCCATAGCTGACCAGGTGCATACAGTCCACGATCATCCACAGAGTTATTATCACCTTTGGTTAGAATTTTAACAGATCCATCTTCTCTAAATTAAGAAAGAAAAGAAAATTACTTCATCCTTCATTATATCTACCAAATACAAATTTAACTGTTGGACATTAAATGTTTTTCTTATTATAATTTACACTACTAGTTATTTTGTTTTAACATTCCAACAACTTTGCTCAATAATAACACAGCCTAAAAATAAGTAAGACACCCTCGAGAATACAAGTCGATCGTCTCCATGACCTCATAACCTTGACATATAAAGCAGGTGTAATTCAATGAAGCCTACAGAATACAAAAAACTATGTCACAAAAAAAAGGACATGAGAACTAAAAATATTTTCATGAGGCTGCACAGTCTAACAATAGGAGGGCAGTCAAAGTCCAGTGTTAAATAATCAGGTCACTTGCAATACTGGTGTCCACAGTAGCTGACAACACATTTCCAGTCATTTTAGAAAACAAATGTTTCTGCACAGCCCAAAAGCTAAAAAAACAACAAAATGAACTCTTTGCACTGTAAGAAGTGTGTAGAATAAACTCTGTCAGATTGTTGCTACTGTTGCAGAACAGACAAGTGTGCCTCAACACGCTCAGAAGTTATCAGTTACAATGGTAGATTAGGTGAATGAAAACCACTCCTCACTCCAGGCAATATTGTATATCAACAACAGTGCACATTACAGGTGCTATTACATACCCTCCTGCTTTTTTGGGACACACATTTTTTTCAGATGAGTACAGATTTGCACAATTGTTGGACAGTGGACACATCTGGGTTTGGCCACTATCCTCTCAGGAAATTTCACTGAGCAGGCTGCAAGCCACAACATAATATATTAGTATTTCTGTTATGGTGTAAAGTACTTTTACAGCAGGTGATCAATCACAGCCAAAGTCATGCAAAGTGACAGTCGCCGTTGCTCACAATTCTTAAGCAAGACCTATCAATGCTAATAACTAGCTTACCAGATAAACAGTATTTTCATGTAAGAAGGGAGCTCCTGTTCATACAGTCTAGATTAAAAAATGATGGCTTAAAGACCATGGCAACACCACTCTCTTGTAGAAAGACCAATCAGCTGATCTGAACCATAACAAGCATGTGTACTCCATCCTTGATTATATCCAAAACTTCTATGAACCCCATCATCCAAGTTCTTCACCAGAGGCAGGGGTGCAATCCCATAAACCCAGATTTCAAATATTGTAAATATGATATACAACCATGCTTATGCTTTAAATATTGCAAAGGGCAGATACACTTGATACAAATGGTAATCTTGTATCTTTTGTTTTATTTCTGTTTATTTAATAAAAGAGGAGTTTCTCTGAATTGGGAATTTATTTACTTATTGATAAGTTCTATAGAATGTTTTTATTCATTCAGCTTCATTGAAATACTTTTAACAATTCAATAAATTTTACAGTTATTCTCTGTGTCTCATTTAACATTCTAACTACTGCATTGTTTACAAATAAAACAAGTAATACGTTTTTAAAAACTTACTGCTGTTTTAAAAAAACATGCATGTTTCGATAGGTTTACCAACATAAATTAAATGATGGAACATTAAAAAAAATTTTACTTGTTTTATCCATAAACAAAACTTTAATTTTCATGTTATAAGCTTTTCCTTTAATTTAATACTGTGTGCTTAATTTACTTTCTTTTATGGAATACTTTTTAGTCATGCATATTACAGACAAATTGTAGGAGATTTAACAACTCAGAAAATTAGACAGTTTTTAATGTCTTACTTTTCGTGTAGTTTCAACACCCTATGGACGATGGGAATATCCCGACCTTCTACTTTAAAAACCACTATGTCTCCAACTCTGATAGGATCTTCTTTGTGGTTGGTTAAAAATAACAGATCTCCTCGATGAAATGCAGGCTCCATACTTCCACTTAAAAAAAGTATTTCTATAAATTTTTAACTAGTGCTATAATCAAAAATGAATATTTAGTGAACAAAATTACTGATCTCAAATCAGCTATATGAGTAACAAAAGTGAAAATTAAATGCAGACAAAAAATCAGATATGACATTACTATTATAAAATATTTAGGAATTTACCTTTTTATTATTTCATCAACACTGTAGTATTCCCTTAGTTTAATAATAAAATGTTCCAAAAGTATTAACCTATAGTTCAGATAAAGATCATAATTTATTCACTAGGACTTGGCAAGTTACACTGAACACTTAAGAAAATGCTTCATAAAATTCCACTTTTACAGTTCAATAATATATGCTTATATTCAAAGACTGAAAAATTCAGCTAATAGTTTATATCTTTCAGATCTGTTCATTTCAGCTACAGAATTTTAATATTTTGTAGCATCACACTGACCTCTTTCTATCTAAGTATAAACTTAATTTCACAGAAATTCAGAACTTAAAAATAGTGTAAATTTTGTTGTTTTATTTTTGTACATAGTTATCTGTTTACAATATATATATACTTTTGTAACCATATGTGGTGTTATATTAAACTGGCACATTCATAAATTTATATACATTAAATGAAATGCATTCATAAGACATTACCTTACCTCAAAACAACGACAATTGGGCTTTCACTGCCTGTAACAACCATTAAGCCTTTCCATATCATCAATGCAGAAGACACGATCATGCCAAAATTTAATGCTTGATACATAAGCTGTAAATAAATAATTTAATTTCTTAACAAGACACATTTTGTCGTGAATAACTAATGTATATACATTATTTAACTTTATCCAGATTTATAATATTATTGAATAATAATTATACAACACATACACAATAACTAATGTACATACATTATTTAACTTTATCCAGATTTATATATTATTGAATAATAATTATATAACACATACACAATAACTAATGTACATACATTATTTAACTTTATCCAGATTTATAATACTATTGAATAATAATTATATAACACATACACAATAACTAATGTACATACATTATTTAACTTTATCCAGATTTATATATTATTGTGATATTGTGCATGTGATTTAAGATTTATTCAATATTAAGTCAGTGAACAATGAATGACCATGACTGAAAGTCACACTTCTTCTGAAACAGAGTAAAAGTACAGAGAAAGGCACAAACTGCTTTCACAGTGCTTTCTTTGTTTCAATAGTGCAAGATATTCAAATGTGCTGAATATAAATAAGATAGAGATTGTGTCTCAATTACTTTCAAATAATAATAAATTAATATTCAGTGTGCATAAAAGATCCTACTTATCAAACCTACAAAACAATGATGCATATCTGACAGACAAGGGCTCAGAAAAGACAATAATACATTCCATTAAATTAAAACAGGTAATCTTCCTTAGCCAGTAGAAACTAGAATCACCAAATATCAATAAAGCATTATCAAGATGAAGCTGAAAATCACTTTAAAATAATTCTCTATCAAATGTTTACATTAAACAAATGCAGACCATACTTCCAAACAAGCAGGCTAAAATTTAAAAATACAATTAAGCAAGAACTTTGACATACTGCAGAGTATATCTTGATTATAAATAAAAAGTAACTTCTAAGTCTCACCACGCTAGTTTATAATTCAATAGTTTTCTTTACGCAATTTGATTCATTTAAAATTTAACTTAAATTAGCCATTGCGTGCTCAAAAACACTTTGGTTTAAATGATTATATTAGTTTATGGTCATAAACTATATTTAGAAAAATTCATAAACTAAATTCAAACTTCAATATATAATTTGTTACTACAACTAATACTATTAGTATTATTAATACTTTAAATTTTTCTAACTTCCTAGGCTTGAGGCTGAAGCGAAAATAACATTAGAAATGTGAATAGCTTGTGCTAAATATACAAAACCATTATTCAATGAAATTAACTAGACTCAATCTTACTTGACGCTTATTCATGCGCTTAATATCTTCCAAAAAATCCAGCATTTTGTTTATAATATATAATAAAACACCAGAATATGTTACTTTCTACTAGTCACTTATTAGTTACTAGTATTACACTAGTAACAAGGGTCTGTTCACATACACGTCACTTATACTCCGGCTATTAACTGACCACTAGGTGACAGTAAATTCAACGTTTACAAAGTTAATTTTTTTAAATTAGATTTTACACTTGAGAGTGTATATAAATAAATACATATAAGACTTTTGTAATGTTAATATTCCTTCACTATAATTTTGAAAAAAAAGTACTTAAACTTATATTAATATAACGCAACGATTTTTTCTTTTTACTTTCTGACTTATTTTTTTATTTGTTTTATTTTATGACTTATTTACTGTTGTTTTCCCAAATAATAGTGGATATTACTAAAATACAAGCAAATAATTATTTTGTAAATTTTCGTTTTAATTTCGCTGCTAGCAAAGAGTATTTTGCATTCGTGATTATTCCCGCTTTTACCTTTCATTGTAGTTCAATTTGTTTGATCCATATATATTTTTAGCTGTAGAAAAATGTATGTAATCTTGATAAATGTATAAGTAGCTCCGAAAATTAGTCAAATTATTAACGAATACTTTATGGCCAGAGTTTAAAATTCTCTAAGTTAATAATTTAAACCCAGTAATATATGAGCAGTTTCAAATGTCTAAATTGCTTCATTCTCTTTACATTTATATGCTCCATTTTTCCAATTAGTTTTTTTAACAAACCACATATTAAAATCTGAAATGACTGCGAGGAAGCTCAGTAAAGAAGTTTATGATAAACTACTACGAATTGTAATGCTTGGAGACGGCTTGAATGGGTAATGAAGAAAAAAATTAATACTTGTACCCGATGATGACAGAACCTTGTCGAAACGTTGTACATTTGCTGTTATGTTAAACTTATATTAAAGCTTTTCTTCATTACCCATTCAAGCGTCTCCAAGAATTATTAGAGTCAAAGTGAGTTTCTGGTCATCGAATTTGAATTCATCTACTACGAATTGCTTTACATCGGCAAAAATTCCAAAGATTTTCTATCCTTTCAGAGATTCTGAATTAATGTTTGAATAATTAACATAGTATTATATAGTGTGTCTAGTTTAAGACAAAGTAAAAGCAGAGAAAGCTGTACTTGATTGGAGATGTTTGTTTTAGACGATTTTGGATTACTTTTATAGTTCCTAGCGCAGATCTTCATCTGATAATACGTATTTTTATAAATATATTGTTTCTTGAATGATCATATAGTTTTAATTGTTTGTGTTTTTTATTGCAAAACTACAAAATGGGCCCCGTGCACTCTGTCCACCGCGGAGAAATAAACCTGAATTGTAAGTTCATAAACTTACCGCTGAGTCTCAGAAAGACGATTAATCAGTTTGAATTTAAGGCAATATTTTCTTTTGTAAAATGTTGTTTAAAGGTCAAATTTCCGTTAGCTTTCTACTATATCTGTTATACTTCTTAATTTGTTATCTTATTATCTAACAAAAAATCATACTATAACTAGTGTTATATATAATTTTTTTTCACTAAACAATGGACTTTTCGAGTTCTCGAAATCACAGGTTTCTGGAAACTACATTCACAAAAATATTCTTAGTGTCGAATTTTACGTAATTATTCTCACAACAATCCAACTATATAATGTTCTAGTTTCTGTTTACTGAATCAAAGCCTTCAGTCGGCTGAATAATGATGAAGATTCTTCAACATCTTAGTTATGTTTCATACAATAGCACTGAACATAATTCATATAGACTCCTAACATTTGCTGCTTAATTATTGAAACGTTGAGAATATCTAATATTTTGTCAACTAGCAAGTCGGACGTAATCATATTCATTTGCAAACTAAAACTAGCTAACAGTTCTTTTTGGAAATTGTTTAGGTTTACTATTTTTTGCAGGAGGAAACAAATTGCAATAATTTTCTTTTTTAAACTTCAAATTTTCCCACAGTTGATACTTTATTTTTTATTGTTAAAGGTGTTTATTTGATTTAGAACTGTATATCGATTGCTTTTATCCTTTACGTTTGTATATTTGTTTCTGTTTTACTTGTTTTAAAATTTGTTGAATATAACTTAACTTAGTGGTGCTATTGTCGTAGTAATATTACAAGATGTTATTGAAGTAAGAAAAAGCTATGATTACATTAATGTTGGTTTTCTTTTGCATCCTACATGTATATTTAACCATATATGTATTTCTACTGCCTATTGTGGCTGTATGAACTACTAACACATTGAGTTTTATGGAATGGCTTTGTATGCAGCACTAAATAAATTAAATGAAATGCAAAACATGGATAGGTCATGTGTTTACATAATACGATATATTATTCATATTAAACAAAGGCTTATTTTGCCCCGTCTAACGAAATAGCTTTTTAATGGTAAAATTTCTATATTAATACCTCAAACTGTATACTAATGTTTGTATTCAAGCTTTAAACGCTATATGCTTCAGTCTTCTTTTTTTCACGCTGCTCAACAGTTTAAGGTTTAGTAACTTGTATGCGTACGTGGAAAATGTCAGAAAAGTGAGCCAAAACTAGGAGCAACGTTTCCGAGATGTCTGCATGTGGCTAATTTCAATAAAGAGCTAGAGGTTGTTCCAAGCATTGCAAGTTTTGTAAAACCACCCTAACCATATAAGATACTGCTCGACCAGATGGATTACCACCCTAACCATATAAGATACTACTCGATCAGGTGGCCTCCTTTTGAGCCAGTAATAAGGAGAGTTTTCCAACTGAATTGAAAATGAAAACACTAACGTGTTATTAAAGAAGATGTCAACAAATCATTTCAGGAAAATAACGTCGATCCAACAAGGTTAATGGACGAACTTGTGAGGCCTGTCACATCACTTAGACGTAGTATAAAAACTTCCTACGACACAGTTTCATTAGTACAAAGGTAATATCTAGCTCCATCTGGATCTTCTTCCCAACTTGAATATGAGACCAAGAAGATACTGGTGGATGATGCCATGCCAGAAGCAGCAGAGACAGCAATACTAGAGCGTTGTGTTAACTTCATAGTACCGCTGTTAGAGGAAATCCAGAATCATTTGTCAGACAATATAGAAATCTTACACCAGATGTCTCCTTCATGTGGAGAAGCTGTTAGACATACGAAGATACATCTTAACTGGAAACAATTTTTGAGACATTCCCAGTATAATGAAAAAATTGAGATTCAGTGGTGCAACATCAAATACATCCTGTGGGAAAAATGTTAACTACACTGATACATTCCGGCATGAATTGGAGCCTACTAAGATGCTACAGGTGATAAATTATTCAAAGAACTATTTTATCTGGCGATGCATATACTAAGCACAAAACAAAGAGTCTACTACTATTTAAATATTCATATTTGGCTTAACTCTATCTGTGTCCAAAGTCTGACTTGATGAAATATGTTCCATACATACTTCTGTAAACATTCATGGAAAATTTTCAATCGAAGTTTACCATTCCAAATAATGTTCTTCCCAGTAAATCTCATTTTCTTATATTAGGTCGTCAAGAAGTTAATGTCGCGTATTGGAACACTTTCATTAACCCCTCCCCCCAAAAAATGTACATCATATATAAAAGTTAAAGAACCGCCTAAACGTCACGTTACTGTAGCCTATATAACGTGTATAGTTTAGTATACTCTAATCCCTTATAGTGATGGCACATGACGAGACACACATTCGACATGTAATACTGTTTGAATACAAGAAGGGAAACAACGCCTCTGAAGCCACAAAGAATATCAAAGAAGTTTATGGATATGTTTTGAACGTTCGTAAGTGTTAACGATGGGTCAGCAAATTTCGTTCAGGTGACTTTAGCCTTAAAAACTGTGATGGCAGGGGCCGACATGTTGGAATTTATATTGATGCTCTGAAGACGCTCGTTGAGTCTAACCTAAGGCAACACACTCGGGAAATGGCCCTGAAATTGCATGTCTCTCATAAAACAATACGTAAACATCTGAGGAATATGGGAAAACTCCATAAAGAAGGTGTTTGGGTGCCTCACGAACTCTCCGATGTTCATCATTTCCAATGTGTGAAAGTTGCTTCGTCTCTTCTGGCGCATAATGCTGGTGAACCATTTTTGGACAGACTTGTCACTGGTGATGAAAAATGGATTCTCTATGCGAATATTAAACGCCAAAAACAATGGCTCAGTCCTAGACAAAAACCACTTCC